GCCCCCTCCAGCCCCCCCCTCCAGCCCCAGAACGCAGGGATTTTACAACTCCTTTAACCTTTAAGTGAATGAACCATTGTTAAGCAGGACATTTATTTTACCTTGCTGTGACATATTCCACAGTACAGAGACTCATTTGCTTGATCCAGTCCCAGTAACAAATGTTGTTAATTGTGTGACAAACAGCTGTCTTGAGTGTTGGTCTGTAATGGGGAATTCTGTAATTAGGAGGTTCTGTGCTTTTGGGTTTCGGAATCCTGTCAGGGAGAGTAAGGGTGTACTCCCTGATAATCACTTTAAAATAATTTTTATATAATATGATTTCATACACGCACACACACAGTTAATCATTTATATTTAACATTAAAACCAGCATGTTCTACAGCCGAGGCAGGCATGTGCTGCTACTCTTATTTTGCTGGCCCCCTGCCATGCCCATCGTTAGATCCCAACAAGCTCATTGTCATGTTCCTTCACCCTGCCATTCATGAAGCTGGCACTTTCCAACTCCTGTTCACAGCTGCATCTACTATTTCATGATTTGAAGCCTCTGTCATTGCTAGGCATGACTTCAGTGAAAACAGATAAAAGTCAGGCAGAAGCTTCAAGGCACAAGATAGCTACACACTGCAGGTCTATTTTAAAACAGCAGAAGCACCCCCCCTTGCCCCAATCAGTTAGCAGATAGGTCAGTCACACACAATGGTCTTGACTGGCTTGGCTTATATTAGCCACAGACAAAAGATAACAGTCTGAGAACAACCAGATGCCACTTGGCTAACTACTGTTCGGAAAATGAGTGGAAGTGTCTGGCTGCACCCTCTCAATTCACTATACTCACCATAGTACAATAACATTGCTGAGGGACCTTACAGGCCAAATCATGCCTTGGCCACCTTTACTCTGCTATACCTCAAGTTCCATATAATATTTATTAGATTTTAAATGCCTGTAAGTTGACAAGTATGGATTTGCTCAGTCCCACACCAGACTGTTTGAAAAGTGTTTCAAAACACTGCCCGACTGGGGGCACTTGGACTGGCTCTACCTCCGACTGAAAAAATATATATAAAAATGTATTTTACTTTGTTTTTGTTTTTGTAGCCTCCTGTAATATGCCAGTCACATATCCCAGGAGGCTGCAGGAGCAGGGACATAGAGAGGCTGAAGGGCGGACCCATTATCAGGAACCGGCTGCAAGAAAACAGAAGAGACAGCCGGCTCCCTATGATGTACGGGAGGAAGATGGCGGTGCAGGGCCCTGGCTGTAGCAACAGATCACTGCAGGACAACACAGGATTCACTGGACTGGCAATTGTTTTCCAAAGCTAACCCCGCAAACAAGGTAAGAGGCGATAATAAAAAGTGACCTTTTAAAAAGTTAAAACAAGCCATTTAACATTGACAGGGGTGCTTACAGTAGTTTAGAAAAAAGAGAAAAATTGTACCTAGAGATCCTCACCCCAAGTTAGTTTTGAGTTATTTAACTCTCACCTGCAAAGCAGAACGAACAACCCCCTGCTGCTCTTTAAGTACAAGAAGCAATTTGTTCAGCCAAGGGAGGTTTTGAACAGAGTGCAGCTAAATAAGGGGGAGTCGGAGAGTTAAATAGCAATATAAAAAAAGGTAAATGTATTGAATATACAAGACAAAAAAATAATTTAACACATTAACTGACTGCACAGTTGATACCCACGCACCCCACACCTTTAAAAAATGATTATTGCAATAATCCATTTGTGCAAAACAACATTCAGAACCTTTGAGGAGCTTGCTGATCAGTATTAGTTATATTATCAAGTGGTTCTCAGTTGTTGAGAAACAGCGCTGGGACTAAAGTGAATAGTGCTAGATACTATGTATCAGGTGCCTGGGGATTCTTGATTGAACTCTAATGATTTCTCCTCTTGCTAGGGACGTCTTTTTGGATTTTTAACCAGTTAAGAGTAAAGTCACTAGGAACTGAACTTGGATCTTTATTAGTTCTTTCAGAGGACACCACAAATGTTACTAGAACAAATACTTGATTGAAGATATCTTACTGGGATACATTAAAGCATAAAAATAGACCCGGTGAGATAGGCAGAATGCCGCTGAGTTATAGTCACACTTGGGAAAGGGAAGCCTCCAATCTGTGTGTAATGATAAACTCGAGTAGTATTTACTCACGGCTGCTCTCTCCCTTTGACCGGGCGGTCAGTCTCACGAGACGTATAGACGCTTGATGTTTCCTTTCCAATTCCGCTCGTTGTGGTGTCCAGATGGCTCTTAATTGTGTTCCTGTAAGCCGCAAATGCTTTTTAGAGGAGTCCCAGGTTCAACTTGACTTAATCCCGTTTGTCGGCATGGGTAGTTTCCTTGTCCCGCTGTTTCAAAAATTAGCCACTACTACAAACTTTAGTGCCTGTCATGCAGGTAGTGTAGTGTGTCAGACAAGCATCCTACAACGGATGTCGCGTTTTGCCCCCCTCCGTTTCTTGGGGCTTCGTCAGATCTCCATTGTCGTACGAAAAGTCGATCGCATACGATTATCGTACGATAATCGGAAGGTGTATGGGCACCTTAACACTATTCACTTTAGTCCCAGCGCTGTTTTCTCAACAACTGAGAACCACTTGATAATATAACTAATACTGATCAGCAAGCTCCTCAAAGGTTCTGAATGTTGTTTTGCACAAATGGATTATTGCAATAATCATTTTTTTAAAGGTGTGGGGTTAGTGGGTATCAACTGTGCAGTCAGTTAATGTGTTAAATTATTTTTTTGTCTTCTATATTCAATAAATTTACCTTTTATATTGCTATTTAACTCTCCGACTCCCCCTTATTTAGCTGCACTCTGTTCAAAACCTCCCTTGGCTGAACAAATTGCTTTCTTCTTGTGCTTACAGTAGTTTGCTTGTATCCATTTAGGTAAAAAACTTTTATCTGAAAAGGTAAACAAAACTTGCTGTAACTGCGCAAGAAGTGTTATCTGGAGTTCGGATTTAATTACTCAAGTCCCTCTAAAAAGGTGGCCATACACTCTACAACCATCGCAAAAAAACGTACGATCTGCCTATCTTGGACAGGCAGATCGCACTCTCGATCCCGATGACGGCAATGCTGAACGGGCAGTGTGCGCGTGCGCACACCGGCCCGTTCAGCATTTATCTTCCGAGCACCGTTCTAACCAGCCGAGAATCGTACGATTCCCGGCTGGTTTTCGAACATGCTGGTTCGACAGAAGACGTGCGACCGTACAGTAGAAACGGTCGCACGTCTCCGTTCACACTGCTCGATTATCGTACGAAAAACCGATCGCATACGATTATCGTACGATAATCGTGCAGTGTATGGGCACCTTAAATCTTCCAATGCATCTAACGCTACCCTCTCTACAGGCCCACAATGCTGCTGTCCAAGGGTGGCTCCATTGCTCACCCTTAGACAGCAAGTGTGTTACTGGTGGGACGACCCGGTAAAAATAAAAGGGGAAAAGAAGCCTTAAAAACCCATTATTTTTCTGGACATCTTGGTCTGTTAAAGGAAGTTGAAAAAAGACTTACTGGCTGGATCACCAGGTGAAAAGGGGAAACAAAATGAAACCCTAGTGCAGCCACTTCGGGTAGAATCTTTCTAAACCCTTACAGTGGGGCTAGCCCTGCACTGCAAAGGTTTAGTGCTTGTTTTCTTGTAGGGACGAAAATAAAATATGAACTCACCTGAACCTCCCAGCCAGCTCTAGGGACTGGTCTAAGAGCCTACTGGCTGAGAGGTTCAGGGGAGTATAATTTTTGTTTTGTTTTTGGCCCTAGGCAAAAATCGAGCACTTAACATTTGCAGTGCGGGGGTAGCCCCACCGCAAAGATTAAGAATAATTCTGCCTGAAAATCCTCTTGAAGCACAATGGTTATAGTTAGCATGGGGAAGGGGTCAGTTAAGAGTACCTTATTTAAAAAGTATAGCTACATTGTGTATACATTTAAGAAAAATGAATAAAACTTCAAATAACCATGTAGAATTTCAAGAAACATAATTTCATATTTTGCATAAAAACACCTTTTTTTTTTGTTGCAATGTATGAAGTTTTGCAACCTCTGTCAGTTGTGGGGTTTTTTTTTTTTTTTTAATTGTTGCTGACCAATGTCTTTCCCACGCTATCTGTCCAAGAGGCAAAGGGACAAGCACTAATGGGGATACTGACAGAGATAAAAACATTACAGGTCTTAAGGTGCCCATACACTGTACGATTCTTGTACGAGAATCGTGGGAAATCCCGCGATCGTACAGTGTATGGAAGGTGTGCGACCGTTTCTACTGTGCGGTCGCACAAGCAGGCTTGAAAAACCTGCTTAGTGGCCTGCTTGTTCGACAACTGCCGAACGGGCCGGTGTGCGCACGCGCACACTGCCCATTTGCAGTGATCGGAAGCCCGCCCCTCACTGCGGTCATCGGAAGCCGGCTTTCGATGATCGCAAGTACGATCTGCCCGTCCAAGATGGGCAGATCGTACAAGCTTTTAAATAAGCTTACGACCTTTTGTCTTGCAATGGTCGCAAGGTGTATGGGCACCTTAAGCCATGCAATACAAAGCTAGATTCTTGCTTTTTTCCTTAGCATAAAGTACAGTGAGTCTGTGTCAAAACTATTGGAGAAAAAAAAAAACAGTGCATGTATTGGGTTGACAGAAGATACCAGCTAGATTTGTAAAAAATAAAATAAAAATAATAATAATAATAATAATCTATATCCCACAGTATTTCCACTCCACTGGCTTGTATACCATAAAGCCCAAATAAAGTTACAGCTCTTCATAGTCCTCCAAACCCATGTGTACTTTCTGCCTATGGACAGTGGCCAACTGACCCCCCGGCTCCATTCTAGCAGCTGCAGTCAGACAGACTGAAGTCGCAGTACGCATCTGTAAACTTTTAACAGTAGGTTAAAATGTTAGAGCAGTACAAGGCATTAAAAGGAGACGACTTGCAGCTTGTGTTTAATCACAGAATATAACTTACTGCTGGTAACAATGGTTGCATATTTTGATTGGAGTCTGCAATGGTAGCCAAGTAAACCAAATTTGTGTGCAACATTTGTTGGTACCTAGAAAGAAAAAAAAAACAAAAAAAAAAACATACAAATACCAAAGTTTCACACATTACAAGTTTAGATTTAATTTTCCCTACAAATGTACCTGTTATGCTAAAAGAAGTACATGCGACTTGTTTTAGAGAGCACTGTGATACAAGTTCATTCATACAAAGTGGGTCTCGTTAGCCTACATTTATTGCAGTCTGTGACTATACATGTTAAATAAGGTACTCCCAACTGACCCCCTTTCCCATGCCAACTATACCTCTTCTACTTAAAGAAGATTTATGTGAAGAATTATTCTTAACCTTTGCAAGAGGAGAGGAAAGTATGATAAATGTCTATGACAGAAGCTAGAAAAGGGAACATTTTACATGTTGGTGGCACATTGCATTATAACCAGCAGGTTATATTTAAAGAACAGAAAACTGATTTGGGTTGAATCTTTTCTTTTAAGACTCCAATTTCTGTAATCATGCATTTTTAAAAGTAAGAGTACACTGCACCTTTCTAACAAACAGTGGCCACGCAACAGGGTAGGAATTTTCATGAAGTGGATAAATGTGTGAATAGTCATATATGCAAAAAACAAACAACATCTAAACTGCAGTGGCAACAAAGCTTTTTTTTTTTTAATGCAGTGAGAACATTATTGTACATTTAGTGCTACTCTTTTTTTGTAGAGTGTGGTGACAGGCATTCTACAAAGACAACTCTTTGCTTCATTAAAATCCAAATGGAAAACAAGAGAAAACCACCAAGAAGTAGGGACTTCCTGCAGCCACATGAAGGACCTTTCGCTTAAAGATGTCATCAAATGGGGATGCAACTTCGCCTGGTAGAACTTAGACAACGTGTGAACAGAACACCAGGGGATAGCCTTGCAAATCTGGGAAACAGTTGATGCTGTAAACCCAAACACTCACAAATCTAGTAGAGTGCATCATGACAAGGATGGGTGGAACCCAATCCTTGGGACCATAAAATGGGATCAGTTTTCCAAAGCCAACTAGAGATGGTGGCCTGAGAAGCCGGAGCATCCTTACGGTTCCACCTGGAATTACAAAAAGTGAATCCGAAGCAGTGGCTGAAAGACTCACAGCCCAAACTACATACAGAAAATGGAGTGAAAATATCCTTTAGGTGAACAAAGACACCGGGCAGGGGGACACAAGAACAATGTTTTGGTTAAAGTGAAGGGCAGAAACTACCTTAGGCAAGAGGAAGTCCTGGGCCTAAACACTATCTTGTCCCTATGCAAAACCAGAATGTTTTTTGCAGGATAAAGGCACTAGTTCAGACACTCGCCTCGCAGAGGTGAAGGCCACAAAGAATACAACCTTGTTGGTGATGGTAGAAATAGGAATGTCTCCAATGGCTTACTGGGGGTTTCTGAAGCTCAGAGTAACAGATTCAGATCCCACAGAGTCAGGGGAAACGAACAGGGGGAGCTATATAGAAAGCTCCCTGTACGAAAGAACTTATATCAAGGATTGAGAGGTTAATGGTCGCTTAAACAGAATCAAAAGGGCAGAAGCCTGGCCCTTGATAGTGCCTGGATTCAAACACTGGTCCAGACTTAACTGTAGGAAGGAGAGGAATCGTTCCATGGAGAAAGTCCTAGGGTGGAAGCACTGAGACTCACACCAAGGGAAGTAGGCCTTTCTACGTCTGATGAAATGAGTAGCATTGTAGGCATCACAGATTCAGATGCCTCCATCTCTGAAAAACCTGGGCTTCAAGAGTCACACTGTTAAAGCAAGCAACTGTGAAGCAGAATGGCAAATTGGTCATTGAGACAAAAAGATCCTGAAGATCTGGAAAAGCCAACAGCGCATCTGCCAGGAGTCTTATCAGGTTGGTGTACCAAATCCACCTGGGCCAGTCTGGAGCACTGAGGATCACCAGAATGCCCTCCATCTTGATCCAGCAAAGCAGACATTGAAGATGCTTTAAGAGAGGAAAAGCATAGTTTAGGGTGTACTCATCCAACAGAGCCACCTGAGCATCAACTGCTTCAGTTAGATGATCCCTGTACCTGGAGATAACACGGTGAAGTTTGTTGTTGAACTGGAAGGCCAGAAGATACACATCTGGCAGCACCCACCTTATCAAAGTAATTGTAGACAGGTCAAAGATCAAAGTTTGCAAGAAGCAGTGGGAAGATACTTCCTTGATGCTTTATATATTTACAAAAAAAAAAGAGAGCAAGAACTGCAGACATGTAATTAAGGTATCGCTTGATGCCGAGACTGACGAGCCTACTGACTAAGTGAGTCAGATACTGGGCAAGCACTGAAGCACTGCCAGCAACTCTGGATGAGGAAAGCGCTGCAAGACTAACTTTTTACCAGAGTATAGAAAGTGCTCTGCATGGAACCCAAAGGTCTCTTCCAGGCTATCCCCCAATGTCCTTGGAGACAAAGTTCTAGCAGCAGAAAAAGAGCCTTGATTGAAGAGAAATCTTAAAAAAAAAATAAGGGAGGCAAGGTGCTAACAAAAACAGACGAATCCCCCACACAACTGAGAAGCCCATCCTCCTAGGACACTAGCAAAAAAACTTGCTGGCAGTAGTTGGGGTTTTTCTAAGCTTGCCTACACTTTGTTTTTTGACAAACCTCCATTAGGCAGCAGTATAAAAAGGAGAAAAACTTCACGTGTCCCTCAAATGACAAGAAAGCTTGCTGCAATACTTACCTTATACCCAGTGCTGTGCTTATGGCCCTAACACTCACCACTCTAATCTGGGGCAGGCGGTTCAAGGATCCATCCCCTACCTGACCTGGCCTCACAAGAAAATGCTGGAGAGTGGTTTTGCGTCATTATGTGTTGCTACTCTCTGCAGCATTCAGAACCCACATGCTGCCAGAGGAAGAAGCAGACTCACAATGTCACAAGACCAAAACAATGTCACAAGACCAAAGACCCTTAAAAAAATTAACATGAAAACTTTTTTGGGGGGTAAATGGGCACAGGAGTGCTCCATAGGGGAGAGGTGGCAGAAAATGTTATTGTACCAAACAAAAAGGTTGTTTCATTTTACTTACTGAGAACATTCTGAAGTTTTTCCTTTGTTCTGATAGTCCATAATACACTGGATTAGATGATTATTTTCATCCAACATCTGCAAAGAAAGCAGAGATGTATATTTAACATCTAGAAATGTACATGAAAAAAAACAAAACTATGCAATATTTAGGACTGTTGTAAATACTATTACATAGTAATCCGACCCAGATTAAGGAAAGTATCAAGTATCCCTCAAACAGTTCATTCTGCTTGTCACAGCTGTGTCTGGAATAAAATAAGGGGAGGCTTAAGGTGCCCATACACTGTTCGAATTCCGGCAGGTTTTTGAGAAGCCGGACGAAATTGGCACAGTGTGCGCCGCTGTCGGCAACCTTTCGATTTGGCATGCCTCGATCAGCTGATCGAAGGAGCTGCTTGGAAAATCTTCGATCGATCAGAACCGACAGCGTATTGAGCTGCCCGCTCTGATCGGGGATTCTGACAGGTGCCGGCAGCCGCTGTATGGAAACCCCCGATCAACACGCTGTTAGTGTTGGAGGAATCGGGTCTATTTTTTCCATTCAGCACGCGGTTTGAAAAAAAAAAAAAAGATCAATGTATGGCCAGCCTAAAATCCTCCTATATTACCAGGACAAGAAACAGAAACACAAGTAAAGCTTAGGTAGTCCATGAGTCACATACTGGCTGCTAAATATAAAAAGGAATCTAAACAATTGGGTTGTAACATGGGTAGACCACCTCAAAACCTAATAAAACCACACATAGACATGAGATGATAATTCCCCAATAGGGTTGGTGAAACATACATTGGCATAGGCGTCTGACCAGCACTGGATTCACTGCACTCTGTTTCAATTCATTTGTATCATGCATAAGGGTCAGTGTACACAACTACGGTATTTGTGTTTTTCTTCTGACATGGGTTTGTTAAAGTCTATAGGCAAAACCTTTTTTTTAATGTTTTGGATAGTGTGGGGAAAGATTAGAACCTCATCTACTTTTACTGACATCAAACACTTTATTGGCATGATTCCTTCCAGTTTAGTAAAAAGCTTACCCACAGGACAGGAAGTGAGGGGAATACCTTTTCCATCTGACCATAGAAAGTCTGCAGATAAATTGTAAGGTGTGTGGGCAGCTTAACCCACAGGACAGGAAGCGAGGGGAAAGTCTAAATAGGAGAATGCTGCAACCTGTCAACTTTTTATTGTTGTCCCTTTACCTATTGCAGATTTTTTTCTCACTTCATGTCTGGTAAAAGTTTGTCTCTAGAACAGGAAGTGAGGAGGACTCTCTCTAACAATGCTTCGAAGAGGCTTACCCGCCCCCTCCCGTCAGCACTGGGAGGATCAGACAGGGGAAGGGGGAATCAAGTCCCTCCCCTGTCACGGCTCTCTGCAGTGACAGGATCGAGAAGTGAGCGATTGCCGGTATGTGTTCGCTCACTTCCCGATCTACTGAGCCGACCTGTGACAGTCTCATTGCCACAGGTCGGCTAGAACCATGAGGATGAGTGAAAATCACTCACCTCATAGTTCTCCTTTAATAAAAGCATTTTGATTTTAATATCACTTTAAAGTGGAAAATTTGTTAGGTTCTGTTTTTTGATAGATGAAGCGTACAACGTCTATTTTGGCAAAAACAAACTCCCCATGCACCCTCTTGGATGCAGAGTAGCAGCAAGGTGTCATGATAATGTAACGCCAGTATGCATTACCCCTGGGCCCCAATACAGCAACCTGTTCTGCCATTATAATCCACCACTGCAAGCAGTTAAAGTGACATTAAAGTCAAAAACTTTTTTCCCTCCGCCAATGTTAGTTACAGCACTTACCTTAAAGATGTCTCTTAATCCGATCTTCTTTCCTGTCCTTTCCAGCCTTCTCTCCAGCACTGCTGCGGGTCTCCGATCCAGCGCTGACTCCTCTGTCCTTGCTGGCACTTCCTGTCCCACGGTGTCTGCATGCAGGTGCACGCGTCCATAGACTTACCTTGTGTCTCTCCTCGTCTCCCGGCTGAAAATCTGAACTGCGCATGCCAAGATGCTTTGGAGCCGCCCGAGCATTTACAGACGGGTGCGTGCGGCGAAGACATGGGTACGTTTTAGGTTTTTTTTTTTACATATATCTACTGCTTGCTAGCAGTAGATATAGGCAAATAAAAACGGAGGGTTTAGAAACCCTTCAAGATGGGGGTATCACAGGGGCCCATTCACACCAGCTCACATGCTAAAACGTGTGTGTCGGCGTGCACTGCGCAGGGACAGTGCTCTGCACTGTTACAACGCAAGGTATGATTTACCATTTTTAAACTTTATTTTACGCAGCACATCACACTGCACCATGTCGCGTAGACTTGAATGAAGGGTCTTTTTGTGACACTTCATTCAAGTCTTTGTGATGTGCTGCAGTGTGTTGACATGCAGTGCAGTGAGATGTGCTGCAGATACAGCATGCCTGCATTTTAGGCTTCAGTCACACTATGTAATTTGGGATTCCTGGGCAGGAACCCCAAATGTCCCATTCAGCTGCGGCCCCCGTCACTTGTTCAAGTTAATGACTGGGTGACAGCAGCTGCATCTGTAAGCTGCACTCCACATAGAATCATTTTGATACAATTACATGTGATTTGGAATAGATCACCATCCATAGAAGCAAAATCAATGCATCCAGCGACAGTGATCTATTCCAAACCACGTGCAGTTGTATCACATATGATCATAATGAAATGTAAGCGGCACTTCACATAACAGGCGACAGTGGATGCAGCTAAACAGGACATTTCATTTTCTAGTTTAAAATAGGCTTCCAGGTGCAGTTCAGTGCGTTTGCTGAATACATTGGGATGTTTTTTTGGTCCGGGATCAAACTGGTCTGGACATGGTGTGAAGTTCTTAGGGCTTGTTCACACGATATACAGTATTCCAGCATGCTTAGGTGCTAGAACGCACTTTATCACATAGTAAAATCACCCCTGCGTTCTAGGACAGGAGAGGTTGTGATGTTGCATTGAAGTCAATGGCACCTGATTGCTCATGTCAGAATGCATGGCACATCAGTGCCTGCGATGCGGTCCAGTGCAATCGGAAAAAATGCTCCATGCACTATTTTTCCAAATCATACTGGACCAGAACGCAGGCATCGTTGTTCCCAAGTTCTGGTGTGGGTGGGGGCGTGGCTGCGGTGCCATTGACTTCAATGCACTGCCACACCCCCTTCCACCCTAGAACGCAGGGGGGAGTTTACTATGCGATCCAGCGCGGTCAGCTGCTGGAACACACTGTATATGATGTGAACAAGCCCTTAAGCTGCCAGTCAAAGCACGTGTCTTTGTGTGAACGCGCGCAAAAATAGCGACCTGTAACCGCTCAAAAACGTTGATGCCATGTGGGAATGGGGGCCTTAGATGACCTGTGCGGCTCAATGCAGATAGTGTAAAAGAGCACTAAACCTGCACGCTCAGCTGAGCCCGGCCTGCCTGTTTATAGCACATTATTTGATCAGCCCAACCCATCCCCATGTACCCCGGATCTGTCAGTGAGGAGACCACCTGTGACCCTCATCACCCCCCTGCTCCCACATCACCTCTGCTATGTCTGAGAACAATCATTCCCTCTTGTGTCTCACCTTCTGGATGGCAGCCGGGGTGATGTCCCCCTTCCCCCGCTGCCGGGGAGCTGCAAAGGCCACAGACATGATACCACAGAGGCCGACAACCGCACACACTGACAAACAAAGCGGACACAACACCGGAGGAAGAACGGCTGAAGCGGAACACCTTCCCCGCGCCGAGACACTGCCAGAATACCGGACTGTACCACGTTCTATAATGACGGGGGAGGGGTTAGAGTTCTATTAACTTTGCCGGTTACACATTCCTCGCCTACGCCAGGTCAATAACCTATATATATATATATATATATATGTATATATATCACTGCACTACCTGCGCCTCGGTGGGCTCAAATACATGGCATTTTAGCCGTAAGAATCACTAAAAACTTAAACGCAAAATCGTACACCCCTCTGACGTCACATATGTCACGTCCAGCCATCCCAGAGTTCATTGAGGCATGAGTAACGCGCACTTGGTACTGTCCAGCGGAGGGGTGTGCGGGTAAAATTAAATCAGTGCGTCTTTATTGTTTGAATGGCGTGGTTTAATATGGAACTGTGCACTGTTGTTGTGCAGCGGTCACTGGGAGTTTATTTCCGTTCGGGATGAAGACTCAATATGACGGTATTATTTAAAAGCGGTAGTGGGATGTGAGCTGTACTGTGAAATTAACAAATGCCCCGGTGAAACGTGTGACCGCATTCCACAGCAACATCTAAGGAACGTGAAACGACCTTTATGTGCAGAATACAACAGCCCGCAAACCTCCCGTTTATTGAGTGAGCAATGGTCTAGTCCGAACGTAATCAACATTTGTCTTCATATTGGCGGCGGAAATGTCTCCGGCAAAATGGCCGTCACCGTATAAGACGTACTGGTCACGGGTACTGTGACATTTTGTTGAAGACTATCGCTTGATCACACTTTGTATTCCAATCTTTAGATTCTAATTGTCTTCATGTGACCTGAGCACCATGTGGTTAGTAGAGATTATGCTGGATCTCACGGTGTCTGCGGTCCTGAAACTGCATTCTACACTCGTATAGTCTCAGGCGCCTGTGCACTGAACTCATAATCCACTGATCCTGGCTGCAATGCCAAAAATTAAATAGGAAAGAAGACAACTATTCCAGTGAACGCTAAAAGGGGAATTCCCATCACTTTGAATACGTTTCTTTTCCAGACTCCAGGACAGGAAGTGAAGGGAAATCTAAACAGGACACAGAACATGAACATAAAAAAGTAACCGGGGTTTTCATTCTTCCCTAATTTTCCCCCCAAAATATCTTGGCCATATATACTTTTAAGTCAAACTCTGGGATGAAAAACGATCATTTACACACTGCACTGGATGTTAAAACTATCTTTAAAAAGCTTTGTGTAATATGTGGAGGGTGCTACAAAGTATATAAATCCTACCTTGCAGCATGTTGTCTCCTACACATAACACAAGTCTTCCGAGCACTGCGGGGAGTGAGAGATGGGACTCAAGGAGTGAACTGCAAAAAGTTTCCCAGCACACTCACCAGCCAGCATGCAAAAAAAACTTGTCTAACTGCTAAAGTTCAAAACATAGGTTTTAGTTACATGTCTTCTGCAGAATATGTGAAAGCCGCACCTCATTATAGTGCGGTCCTAACTCTAACCTATGAGAGTGTCCATCTTGGAACACATGCAGCAAAAGATAGAATTGGGTGCAGGTTTGTCAGGCGGAAGCCCAACCCCCCTTAAGGGTACAGGGACACACAAGGGACGCCGCACATCACAGCGGCAACTGAGACCCACAGTGTGTCACTGCACCAAATCAGTCAAGCAAAACAAATGGCAAACGCACTCATCAATTTGTTATCAGCTTTACAGCAAGGTGCACATGGAAGGGCTTTATACAGTACAACAGCAAAAGGTTTCCCAGCACACTCACCAGCCAGCACACAAAAAAACTTGTCTAACTGCTAAGGTTAAAAACAGGTTTTAGTTATACGTCTTATATAGTCTGCAGAAGACGTGTAACTAAAACCTCTGTTTTTAACCTTAGCAGTTAGACCGTTTTTTTTTTGTGTGCTGGCTGGTGAGTGTGCTGGGAAACTTTTTGCTGTTGTACTGTATAAAGCCCTTCCATGTGCACCTTGCTCGGAAAGCTGGTTGATGAGTGCGTTTGCCATTTGTTTTGCTCAAGCAGTGAACTGTCCCAGTCCCATCTCACTACTTCGCCATTCACAAAATGCCCTGGATTTCTCACAAAGAATACAAGGCATCCTGTGAAGGGAGGGTGTGACAGCATCACAGAACACCTTGTTTTCCGTTTGTTGTTTATTTTCTTCCCTGGGGAACTGCAAAGTTGCTCCGCTGCTTATCTCTGAGGGAACCGATCCCCTCACCAACCCTGTGTAGTTCTGCCGCTGGAGTAGCTTACATAAGCGCTACATTAGCAATCAGTTTGCAGTAAGCTTCTCCCCTCAGTACGTCTTCTGTATCAGCACCACCTCTCCATGCCTCTCCTTTGGCCCCTTGAGAGATTAGGAGCTTCCAAAGCAGGGGTCTCAAACCTCCGGCCCTCCAGCTGTGGTGGAACTACAAATCCCATGAGGCATTGCAAGATTCTCACAGCCACAGACATGACTCCCGAAGAAAGATGCATCATGGGATTTGTAGTTTCACCACATCTGGAGGGCCGGAGGTTTGAGACCCCTGTTCCAAAGAAACGCCCAATGTCATGCCAGAGAATAGGGAGTGAATTCTGTGCATATTGATGATGTCACACCAACACAATACAGTATATCTCCTCCTAAAGTAAATGTCAGATCTGAGAATCAATCTTATCGGTTTTTCAATGGATATTTTTGGGGAGCTGGAAGATGTGAGCTTGATCCTGGGTTTGGGCTTTCAATGACCACAAGGTCACTTGTAAACCAATCCCATGTTATAGAATAAGCCAGCTTAAAAATTCCTTGCGTCGTATCTTACTTTTCTCAACAAGTTCTATTTTAAAATCTATGAAAAATAAAAGGATGGAAAACAGAAAAATTAAGATAGTGTGAAATAAACCAAAGCAGCCAGTCTGCAGAATATTTTTTTCATCGGTTTTAGTACGCACCAAAACATAGATTGCTGTCTTCAGGGGTTCGAAGGCACGCATAATAAGTGCAGCAGATTGGATGTATCACCTTCCCAGCGGCCTGTCTTCAAACTGTGTAACGTTCCTGCTCCCCAGCCACTCAGCACTTCCGTGTGTGTCACATACCTGCTCCCCCTGCTGCACGTTGTAGTTCCTTCCACCTGTCACTACAGGATGTATGAGTTAGTGAGAGGAACCACATCGCTCGGCTGACACTAATGTATGCCAGAGGCAGCAGCAGTCTCTGTGCGTAGACTCCTGCCAGGAGTCTGTTTACGTGTGTAAAGCTGCCGCTGGGTCACTTGTATGGACTGGGAAACACACAACCCCTGCCATGTTTTCCAGGCTCTGTGGCCTCTCCTGCGGGTCTAGGACCGGCATCGTGGATGTCACAGAATGAACCCAGAAGCGACAATGATTTTGTTATTTTCCAGTTGCTGAGCTGTCAGTCCCTGGCTAGGGAAAAACTGATCGTGCTTGATTTACTTTGATAGCATGCAATTTTGAAGCTTGACATCTTTTGTATATACTTACTTGGCTCAACCTCCGCTTTTAGATTTTACCCAAAAATTGGGTAATTGTGCTTATCTTTACTGAAGCTATGTGTTTAACCCCTTCGCTGCCACCAAAATTATGGGTCCCCTTTAAACGGACTCCGTTTGCATGTGTAAAGCCAACTGTCGGCTTTACACTGGAAGTGATTGTGGTGGCTGAGGTGCCGCCAGATTGCTTCCAGGGGCTGGTTCAGTGTGCCCCCTTATGTGATAGCAATTAAGTAAAGTTAAAAAAAAAAAGAGAAAAAAAAGTTTGAAATAAAATAAATGTAAAAAAAAAAAGAGTTCTAAAGTCCCCCGCGAGTGCACACTTGAACGTAAAAATGCGTACAAAAATGTACAAAAACGACGATCGTCGGGTATCGCCACGTCCGCCAGAGTAAGAACAATAACTGTAGAGCCAATATTCACGGATATCTCTAAACTGATTACCTGTAATGGCTTTTAAAACATCACCTAGGGACAATTTGTCGCCGTTTCATGTTGGGTATCAATTTATTTGTCCTAACCTCTGTTATATTTTATTAAAAAATTGGTATTATATATTGTGTTTTTACTAAATAAACTGCCACTGTCCCCATTGGAAGATTTCCCCTCACCTTGTCCTGCGGACAACTCTAAAATGTCTCCCTTTCTCAGTGACAATGGTCAGAAGAGATATAGAGGGGTGAATCTCCTCAATGGGTAGACAGACAGCAATTAAAACTTGACAGCTAACCCATAACTATATGGGGGCATGGTCCCAAGACCTAAATATCATTCTTGATCGGGATCAATGGTCTCAAATTTGGCACACCACCAAATCCTGCTCTCCTAACGCCAATGCTCAGGGATGTAACTATAAAGTCTTATTCCGCTGGCACTTGGTCCCCACTAGACTTGCGGCCATGTCCTCCAATCAATCCCCACTATGCTTCCGAGCAGGGCCGGCTTTAGGCATTTAGGCGCCCTGTGCGAGAAAGCTTTATAGCGCCCTTCAGTGACCACACCCTTCTGTGGCCACACCCCCGTAACCACACCCATTTCCCCCAATATCCGCACCATTTAAAGACTCCTATTTTGTTAAGCCGCAAAGAAACATATTAAAAAGTATGAAAAAAATTAAACTTTTATTCAAAGGTATTAAACTTGTCGGCACAATACAAGTATTATTATGAAATAAAACAACAGAAGGCAAATAATAAATGTCAAACTACAATAGAGTCTATGAAAATAAAGTGTCAGGATGTCATGCCAACCCTTTTTCAAGTAAGTGCATCTAGAAAAGTAAAAAAAGAAATCAGAACACAAAACCCAGACTACATGTAAAATGAATGAATTACTATATGTTCGAATATACGAAAAATGTATTCAGGCGCATAATAATTTGTTTGAGAATGCGCAACAATCCATGTTGGCCACCGGAGTGTTCTGTGAATGTGTGCCACCATCTTGGAGGTGGGGAGCATGACGTCACATGATGCCATGCATGCCTGGGGTCAGGTGACGTCACACGGCAATATTGGCCCCACCATCTTGGTGTATACCTAGATATACACCAAGATGGCGGCGCCCAACACGTGTGGTGTTATATGATGTCATGCGCCCTGCCTCTAGAACACGCCAATGGCTGAATCCAAAATAGCATAAAAATTTGTTTTGTTTGATGAAACGAATGAAACGTTTTTAGTTTTCATTCATTATATCTGAAATGAATTTGAGTCTTTGCACTTGTCTAATAATATGTGTGTACAGACCCCTAACATTTCACTTTTAAAATAGAAAAGAAATTGAGGACACCAAATCCTCAATTTCTTTGTCAGCATTCTTAGCACTCAATGAATGGGAAGCACTCAGTACAGAGGCTCCTCCCATTCATTCAGAAACTGCTGATAGTAAAATATTTACTATGATCAGGTTCTGAATGGGGAGGAGCTTCTGAACTGAGTTCTTCTCCCCATTGAGGAAATCTTGAATGAACAGGCTGTGATGAAAAACACAGCCTGTTCATTCATAACTGGAGACACATAGTACTATGCGTCCCCAGTTATTTGATCAGACCATCGCTCCAGTGTTTGTCCTTCACACAAAGAGGACCGGTAAATATCAATGATATTTACTGATACCCGCTCTGCCACGCACAGAGCCGCTGTCATCCTGAAACTGACAGCGGCTCCGATCTCCTCCCCGCTCGGCCATCCTGACAGCTGCGGGCGCGGCTTCTCTCCCCCTCACCGCTCGGCCATCCTGACAGCAGGCAGTGCTCCCTCCTGCGCCCACCCCGCAGTTTCTCCTCGGAACCCCGCTTCCTCAGCCCATACAGGCAGCGGGGATCCGAAAACAACAGAACAGCGCTGACGAGGGACCGTTGTCTTGTCGGGTGGCCAGCGGTGAGGAGGAGAGAAGCCGCCCCGAAGACGAGCTGTGTCGGCCGCCATATCGCGTTTTCCCCCCCAGAGTTCTTCTGTAAGAATTGTTTTCCACCAATACTTTTCCTTTATATTGGCTTTTTAAAATAGCAGACAAGATGGTTAAGAGACAGGATGAAGGTTTCAGTGCAAAACAACACTTTTGGCAGTTACCAAAGTGTAAAGCTACTACAGTGCTTTACAACAATCTTTCCAGTCCTGTATGGCACCAAGCTGAGCGGTTTCCCTTAATCCATCATGATCCACTCCTCTTCCAATTAGAAAACGCCTTGTGTTCAATGATAAGAACCGGGCATTATCAGAATGGCTGCTGTGTTGAGCAAGTGACCCCCTGTGATTTCAGAGCAGAAGGGAAGCTGCTCAGCTCAGTGCCATACAAGGCCCAGAAGATCACTGTACAGCACTGTAGTAGCGCCCACCCAGAATCCCAGTGGGCTGATTAGGTATATGCCAGGGGTAGTGAATTCAAATTTTAATCGAGCTGCGGTCCAAATTGTGGTCCAGACAGAACGGTCACTTAGCCCGTGTCTGTACCGTGGTCTGCCATTTTGGCTACACACCAGCAGCTGCACTGCAACACAAAGCTGCCAGTGTGTGCTCCCAGGTAGTGCTGATGCGCCCATCTCGCAGCATCACATTGTTTATTTTTTTTTGTTAGAGCCCCCACGCTCGGTTTATATACACTTGCCTATGCGCACATGTTCATTACAATCCGATGGCAGGGGCAGCAGTGTTGGTTTTAATTTTATCTGTTTATCCTCCCCCCTTCCCCGAGTGGCTCTGTCGGCTAACGAAGGGGGGAGGAGTCCGGTGACATCGATGTCCGTGACGTCACAGACTCCTCACCCCTCCCCAGAGTGGCTCTGTCGGCTAACGAAGGGGGGAGGGGTCCGGTGACATCGATGTCAGTGACGTCACCGGACCCCTCCCCTTCCCTTCGTTAGCCTCCCCTTCCCTTCGTTGTAAGCCTTATTGTAACTGCAAAGTAATTGGATCTTCTATGTGCCTCATTTTATATGCTGCAAATCTTTCTCGTGCCCAGGCTGATATTTGGTATGTATCGCCCCTCCATTCAGCAGTGCAATGGTTCACTGCTGAACCATTGCACTGGTTCAGCAGTTCCTGATCTTTTCAGGAACAATGGATGACTGAATATCTATTTCTGGACTTAAAAACTGCCTTTATTATTTATTTTTTCCCCAACAATAAGTATCAATCACAGGGGCCCCAACAAGTGTCTGGGATCATAACTGTCCATTCGCAGCATTGGGGTCTAACAAAGTTGGTTAGACCCCACAGAGCCCTGGTTAGACCTCACAGAGCCCTGCTACCCTGGTGAGACCCCCTCAGAGCCCTGGTGAGTCCCCAGAGAGCCGTGGTGAGACCAGGGCTCTGTGGGGTCTTGCCAGGGCTCTGTGGGTCTAACAAGGCTGGTTAGACCCCACAGAGCCCTGCTACCCTGGTGAGGCCCCCTCAAAGCTCTGGTGAGACCCCCCTCTGTATGTGCGTTATAATTAATCGAAATTAGTCGATTAATCGATTTTTAAAAAATTCGATTAATCGAACAGGAAAATTTTAATCATTACCAGCCCTACTTTTTTACTTAACTATTAACGCATGGGCTGGTGGAATGGGCCCAAAGAGTAGTGTATGTGGCATCTGCCTATCTTTTGGCCCCTGATGAGCAGTGCTGGTCTCTGGGAGGATGACAGCAGTGCAGTGATGTCAGTACACAGAAAAGTCCCTGATATAGTACAGCCATACACAGAGCCCCAGACTCCCTCCCTATCTCACCATTGTGCTAGGATGCGAATGGACATGTTGTTAGTTCTGTGGGAAATTCACACCAACCTTAGGTCACCACTAGCTGCTGTGCTGGGCCCCAGAGAGCTTCAGGTCACCACCGCAACCCCAGGTATCTGGGAGCCACTAGGAGCCTGTCACTGTCCTGTGTCAGATGAGCAAAACCACGGCGGCGGGTGGGGCCTGCACTGGGTTATGGCTGGCAATGCATGCATCGGACAGAACCGCCACCCAGTCCGTGTCCCGACTGTAGTCCGCCATTTAGTGACCCCAATACCTGTACATCACACAGAGGGACCTGTCATAGATATCTGTACATCACACCGAGGGACCTGTCATAGACACCTGTACATCACACCGAGGGACGTGGACTGTTATGGTTGGCCTGGCATAAGTGTGCGGACAGTTCATGTGCATTGACAACCACTCCATTAGATATTACACTGCTGGGACGTTTGAGGGCAACGCCGCGCATACCGCCAGCCTGGGTTACCTCTCACCGTTATTTTCTCCCATAAGCGGACGGGAGGCAATAAACTTTTCTTTACAAACTATCCGCCCCGCTCCTGAGGAAAGTGCACGGTCACGGCCACGTGACATCACCACCTGTCTGCGTTACCCCGCCCCCTTCAGGCGGGAAGAGCCAATGAAGTCATCGCACTTCCTGGCCGGCTTGTGCTATGTGCACATGGCTATATAAACATGGCTGCAGCCCGAGCATGCCGCTAAGCAGCGGGCTGGTAGTGGGTGGATACGGGTGATGATTAAAGGATCACGGGGAGAGGATGACTCGGGAACATGTCTTCATAAATCTATGTACACTGTGATGACATTGTCAACGTATGACACAGATCGCTACTATAACGCTGGGAGTGCTTTAGATCGCGATCCGTGTTGATTGTGGGTTCCCATTTGTAAGTGATGCATACGGTACAAGCTACCTCGGCAACGGTGGTAAGCCAGGCTGTACCTTTAACCCATGGGGTCCTTGTCAAGAGCCTGCCCGCAATGTCCACCCCTGATCGTCCCATCACACCTTCTCAGGTGGAGTCTGGACCCCCCGCCAGCCTGAGCCAGGTATCGGTGGCTCCCCAGACCCCTGTGATCTCTGCACCGATGTGCACGCTCATAACGAAAGTTGCCCCCGCAGCGGTTCAAGCGTCAAAAGTGACAAGCGGCCCCAAAATGACAGCAACGCAGCAATCAGTTCCTGCCAAGGCGGCTCAGACAACCATTCAGCTACCCGCAAACTTCCAGATTCCACCCGGTAAGTACCGTGTGATAAATGTAATTTTAGGATCAGCGGGCCTTCTGTTTTATCCCTGTGGTCCTTAGCAGCAGGAGGATGCTGTGTTGCTATGGCGACGGGCACATTGACAAGTGATACATTACACTCCTGTGTTTGTAAACTGAGATTTTTGGGCCTAATGGGAAATGTGACACTTTCAGATCCTTTACTATTAAAGTGCAACTGAAGCCAATTTTGTTTTTAATATTTTTTTGTTTATAGAGTGGAGAGGAATTAGAACCCCAGTCAGATTTTTATTGCTGCCTATATCACTGTTACGGAGATTCACCCTATTTGTTCTGACAACCGAAGCCCAAATTTTGTGTTGTCATCAGAACAGGAATAGAGGGGAAATCTTCCAATGGGGACACTTGTTGTAGTGACCCTGCAGACCACAAAGGGATTTCCTCGCACTTCCTGTTGTGGCTATCAGACAGGAAGTGAGAGGAAATCTCCATCATGGGACACAGATGGTATAAAAAACAGCTGACGCCAGTCAGCTCCCCTCTGCCAGTATGGGTGTACTATCTGTCCCCCGCACTGCTGTCCAGCGCAGTCCTCCCCTATGCATTTTGAATTTCGCTCGTAAATTGCAAGCACTCATTGGTCAACGTTGTCCGATGACTGCGTTGACCAGTGAGAAGCGCTATTTAGCACAGTCAAATATGTTTTGATTAGGGGTGCACCGATACTAGTATGAGTGCGATGCAGAGTATTTGGGCAAGTACCCGTACTCACCCAAATGCTCCGATACCTTCTCCGATTTTGGAACTTACGGCCAGATGAAAATTTCCTCTGACTGGCAGTGCCGTAGGGAACATGGAGCCAGCTTCCCCTGCAATCAGGAAGCCGTGCGGCAAGTAATGACCCGCCTCCTGGTTTTCTGATTGGCTGGAAAGCCGGCTTCCTGGCCAATCAGCATCAAGCCATTTTCCCGGTCAATCAGGTTATTACTCGCCACCCGGCTTCTTGATTGACCGGGAAGCAGGTTTCCTGGCCAATCACAATCAAGCAGGCCAAACAACATGGACCCGGCTTCTGTGGCAATCAGGAAACTGGGCGGGATGTCATTACCCACTGCCCGGCTTTCTGATTTCCAGGGAAGCCTGCTCTATGCCAGCGGAAGCACCGGTATTAGTATTCAGTGTCGGCGAGATCCGAAAGCAAAAAATCAGTACTCGATACCGAAAAACCAGTATTGGTGCATCTTTAGTTTTGATTAAAACAATTTTTTTTGTATTGGGACAAGTAGATTGTCATGAAGGACAGGTAGATTTGGCCCCTGCTTTAGCCCTTGGACAAGTAGTTTTTTTTTCAAATTTCCACACCCCTGCTGTGGATGTGTGCAACATTGACTGACCAGTTTAGGGTATGTCAGTGGGCTTTTGTTTGCTTCTGCTGGGTGTTCAATCAATTTACAAGTCTGGAAATGCAAACTCACTTGAAGCAGGTCAAATGCGGGTCAGAAGAAGGGCAAATGCACCCATCAAAAGATTCTGAATGATCTTAAAGCAGATCTCCGGGTAAAAATGTTCTTAACCTTTGCAGTGCGGCTAACCACTGAGTGTGGGACCTGGGTTTTTTTTTATTCCACACATTTCCACTGCCCTCTATTAGCTTGGGTTTACAGTGAGGAAGCGGTTTCACCGCCTCATGCCTCAGTATGGAGGCTGGTGGGAGGAGCCACTTAGGCCGCTGTAGCAGAGATAGCAGTGCTAGGGGATGGGGTTTTGCTGTCCCATGTGCTGACATTGGCGGCCCGCCTCCCTCCCATTCTCACCACTTGGTGGGAGTAGGACTAGAGTAACGTGGCTGCGGCTCTGCATTGGTACACCCTGAGTGGTGAGCTATTTGGGGGGCTTTATCTTGATTGTCCCCAGTGGTTGTGGGCACAACTGTATCAGGGGGAGCAGATGTCCCGGTGCTACAAGCTCTGCAGGGTCTGGTGGGGCCTCAGACTTCTGTGTGTAGGGGGGGCATTGTGGATGTTGGAGGCTGCTGTTTGTCCCTCTTGCCTACCTCCAGCACCCAGTCCTGGTCTGTCTGGGGTTTCTCTGGGGGGTTTCTGGGGCTTTGGGCCCCTGCATGCCTATGGCTAGTTGAGCCTATTGAGCAAGCATTCTGACACCTCCATCCCCTTTTCTTTCTTCTAGAGAGGAGAATAACATTCCATCAGCTACGGCTTCAACAGACGCTGCGTTGTCTTGCCAATCTGGCAGTGACGATGAGTCATCCTAGTTTTCGCAAGAAAAATAATTGGTTTTGGCGCTGATTAAGTTTGTACGCAAAACTCTAAAACTGGAGGATTATGAGAGCGTTCTGCTAGATACTCCCGTTGCTTTTGGTACACAAGCCACAGCGGTCGGCAAAAGTGTTAATTTACCATGCCTTTTAACCACTTCAAGACCAGGTGTTTAGACCCCCTTCCTGGCCAGGCCATTTTTCATGGCCGGCCGTTTTTTTACTACGGCCGGCCCGGAAGGGGTTAAAATTACTTTATTTACAAGGAATGGGAGTATCCGTCTTAAGTGCTCTGTTCTACCCAAGAGCTTTTCTGTTCAAGTTTGTAAGGTGGCCACCTGGTTGTCTTTGCACACCTTTATCCGGTTCTATAAAGTTGTTGTTACCTCTGTGGATGCAGTAATCAGCTGTGAAGTTCTACAAGTGGCTGTTAAGTGTGTACGTACCTCTTTCTTGTTCTGTTTGGTTGGTTGCCCGCCCCTCGGTTCTCACTGCTCTAGGACTTCCCTTGCATTGAATGAAGAAATGGCTAGAAAATATAGGATTAGTTGTACTCACCGTAAAATCCTCACCTAGACAAAAACAAGCACTTAACCCTTGTGGTGCGGGGGTGGCCCATAAATAATGTTTTTCCCAGTCATCGTCCAGGGCAGCCTCTGAGAGATGGGATCCTCCCACCTGAAACAGGAAACACATCATCCACAATTAGAATAAAAAGGGTGGTCCCTCTTAACCACCTCAGTATTTTGTGTTTCCTCCGGCCGAACAGGAGCATCGCAAGGTTTGTCATTTTACTCCAGGCCTATCGATAATGGAAGGAGATGGCAACCATCCTCGCTGGCGTAGTGTCTCCAGATGGAGTCCCCCTGAGTGTCCTGCTAAAGGAATTGACGGATGGTCTGATGGGCTCTCTGGTGGACGTAGAGCTGGATCACAGCAGGACACGAATACTGTGCATTGTCGACCATCCACATCGGTGAGTGGGGCAGTAGCGTGAGTCCAAACGGGAAGGGTGATGCACACCGTTGGACTCTTCATCACAGGCTGCTTCTCCCATTCTGGGGGTTCAAAGCGTCATCTCCAAGGTAGGTGGGTCTACAGTTGACAAGTCCCCCCCTACCTGCACCCTTCTTGCTTTAGGGGCTTACTTCGGTGGGGCAAGGGGTCGTTGGCTTACTGGATGCACCTCCCAATGGGTCTCTCTCCCGGGGGGTGCAGCTTGGTCTCGGGTGACAGGCTCTGAGCCCTTCCCTTTTTTGGCATAAGTATAGGCCTCAGAGGATAAGCCCCTGCCATCGGAAGCCAAAACACCCCTAAGAGTGCTTCCTGCATTGACAAATTGTTTTTCTTTCCGGGCCAAGCTTTTCTGCCAGTTCTGTGTATCGTCAAAGATGGGGCATACGATGAAAGAGCATTGCTAGAGTAAAAATGCTGGCTTGTCTTTCCGGGGGAAGACAACTGATAATGTTTACTGCCGTGCCAGAAGTTGTTCTGGAGAAGTCCTGGAATTGAGCAATCACATGCATTATTGTGTGTATATGTATATAATAAGTGTGTGTAGATGTATACATACAGCTAAGACTTACTATGAATTGGTCTACACATGTGGTTGTGAAAGACAGAGGATAGTTGCATTCTGGTTTTGGTGCTGACTTTTGTTGTTCCGGACACATGTAAACACATGTCAACGCACCATGTGTAAATGCATGTCAGTCGGTGGCAGAATATTAGCTACGTCTGGACGCATATGCACGTAGATGTATGTGTGCGCAAGTCCTTAACGCAGATAGCAGCATATTTATGGCCACCTGGCTGGACAGATTTTTTTCTCTGCACATGGAGGCTTGGAGTGCAAATGGCAAGTATGAATGTAGCTGTATGCCGCCTACATTAGATGTATGGGCACCCACTATGTAAACCTGGTTGGCTTAAGCTCAGCACATGGGGGTTCCCCTGAACATGACATTGTTAGTGCATCCTTTTACTGGAGGCATGCAGTTTAAACATCTGTTTATAGCATATGTTCTGTTAGGGGTCTTCAATGGGGCGTAGCTTTTTTTCCAGGCTATTACATGAATATCAAGCTTGGTCTTGTATCCACCCCAAGCATGGCTTCAGGTGGTCGGTGGTCGGTTTCGTGTTTTTTCATTCTCTTCGATTTCCCACAAGAGAATCGGCCTTATATCTGGGAGGATGGCAAGGTTGTATTCGCCTTGCGTAGGAATGACGCAGGAATACTGGCTGCTCTCTGAATTCAGAATGCATTTTGCATGTTCAGGCACACGATTTAGAGAAATTTTATTTGGTACAATCAAAAGCAGTGTGTTGCATGTTAGATTATTTTTGTGGAGCCCTGGAATTGAACACGGAGGTGTGATTTGAAACTATTCTGGGCACACACCCGAATGCAGCAGATATGGACAAGCCATGATAAACCAGATCACTGCAGAGACAGGCTACATACTTCAGGGTTTATGGTTGTGCACCCATGTAATCTAGGCATCGTTTAGGGATGGGCGAATGTTTTTGCCCCCAACAGGACAGTATGTCGAAGTGACGACGTGCTTGGGTTTTCTACATACATCAGCTTCTCTATTCTGCCTATAGTATCGGAGGAGTGTCAAACCTTAGGATCATAGGCCAGCCACGTGACATTTGTTTGATCTCAGAGTTGCTTCGTCTTGCCTCGTGGCACTTTGCAGTACAGGTCAGGCACAGTAATGTCTACAAAACTGCTG